GAGAGTCTTGGTTTCTCCGAGGGCCCAGTACTAGTACTTCGCCGTTTCAATTCCCTTGTCTTGTTAGCCAGCAGGGAGGGGCACGCATAGCCCATTTCTTGTTTTCCCTCGTACGTGAATGCCTTGGACTCGCGGTGAGCACTCTCAGGAATGTGCGGACTGAATTACTGCTTATGAGACGAACCCTTCACCCTTGTGCCTTATCCCCTCGATCGGATGCGTTCGGCATGCAGTGCGATCTACTGTCCGAGTAGCCCAACGACCCATGGAAATGGGCACCGCACAGAGTTCAGACAAGGACGCGCGCGCGCACATATCTGCTTGCCGATGGATCTGATCTGACCCTAGCCCTACCCTACCACTGATGAGTCATGCATGCATGATGCATCCACCCACAAGGAGCCAAGAAAAGCGTGGCACAAGCCATGCGGCCGTGTAGTCGCGTACGCATTTCCGTAAGGGGAGCCGCATGCTGCAACGGGCAACCATCGTCGTGTTCGGCTGGGTGGGGCTGGGCTGGTTGGGGCTGGAGTGGGCTGATCCTGCTGTTCGGCTGGTTGGAATCATGACTGATTTGAATTCAACAGGTCCATTCAAAATATGGCGTCAGTAGCCTACCACACATTTCAATGAACAGTAGACCGAACCAACCATTTACAAGGCATACATTTCGTACAAGACAAACACCAGGTGTCAATACACAGTCTATTTGTCAGATACAGCACAGGAGAAGCATGTTCCCAGTGGAAAAAATTTGTATTTAACACAAGCACAATAGGGCACATATGAAATTCACTGAATAACACAAGCTACATGATGGAACTACCAAACATTACAAAACAAGAGAAAACAGCACAAGATAGGCTTTGTAACAGGTCAAAGGACAACACTTGATCGATCAATCTACAAAATTACACACCATGTAAAGGAACACATAGGAAAAGAGAAGCCATGCCCTCTCAGGCACTGGGGAGATTGTGGCATCATCATCTGGCACTCCAAATTTGTCCGTATCACCCACCATTCTTAAGCTGGTAGCACGGTCAAACAAAGGTTCTTATGGGTTGTGCCAATAACTGCCTCGCTAGCAACAACAGGTTCAAGGAGGCTGTTGCAAGGTAGATCAGTCTGCAAATCAATAGTCTCGAGCCCCTTTCCTGTGTGTTTAGAAGCTGACCTCCCTCTACCCTTAGCAGCTGGTTTGTTACCTCTACCACTACCAGCTACAGCACCTCCATGCCTTCTAGCAATGCTTACATGTAACAGCAAAGAGACAATTATCAAATTCCTGTCCATTTGCACTGTAATCATCAACTTGCCACTAGCACCATTGGCTTACCTATACCCCAAATGTGTCAGTCCATGGGTAATCCACATCCTAACATTGTCCATGGAATCATTTGCACTTGCATTAAGCCACTGCACCATCGACGGTGGGCTTAGTGGATGAAGTGGCTTAGTTACTTCATTTTTTTAAGTAGTTATGAAGGGCAAAACCTGCCTTAATAATGTTATCCTGCTTCTCCCTAGGATAGTGTGGCACTCCTTTCAACATGTGCCACCTAGCTTTGACCACCCCAAATAATGTTTCCACCACATTACGCAAACTAGCATGGTGGAAATTGAATACCTCGTTAGGACCTTGAGCCGGCCTATCGTCAAACTCTTTCAAATGGTACCTGTGCCTTTTGTGTGGCCCCAAGTAACCATGTTCACCTGCATACCCCGAGTCCACCAGATAGTACCTACCTGTACATGACAACCCCTTCAACTTATCAGCACAACAAACATCTGCATTACCATGATAACATCGAGTTCAATTTTATAACAGCAAATGCAACTAACCTGGCGGTGGGTGCGGGAACATGGGTTTCGTCCAAGCTTCCCTAAGGACCCTCATATCATGCACTGCCCCTGCCATGCCAACACCAAGAAATGTAACCCACCCATCAAAGTCACAAACTACGACCACATTTTGGCTAGGGCAACCGTGCCTATTTATGTAATCATCATGGAACACCCTATCAACACTGATCCTGATGTGTGTCCCATCGATAGCGCCTATTGCACCATCAAAGAAAGGTGTGTACTTGTGCGGCCTATCATGCACTTTTGACATGTCTACATGCCTAGGTGTACAAATCACGTTTGCAAAGTTAGCAACACATTCCAACACTTGACCAAACCTCTCGCTAAGAGTCCCAAGACCCCTTTTAAACCGTTCTCCCATGTCCCATTGTCCGACTTGTTTTGCTAGTGCCCAAAGAAACATCCCTAAAGCCTCCTGCGTATCAAAGTCCCCATAGTCTCGCATGCCATGGTTATTAATTAGCATTTCGTGCAGTTCAAAAAAATCAGTAGGTTCCATACGAAAATTTATACCGCTCCTTTTTGGGTGAGAAAGAACCTTGCGTACCCACTGCCTGCCGTTCAACTCTTGCCAACCGAAGCAAGGAGGTGGTACCAGGACATCAGCTGCTACAGCGGCTGCGTATCCGCCAACAGCCGCAGCATATCTCACATCCTCCCAGTAACTAGCGCTGGAATCACTTGAATATTCATTAGCGCTGTCACTACGCAACATGCCTCTTCAATCTCTTTGCAATCGGTCCCCTGATACAAAACAACATCATATTAATTGCACAGTCCTACAAACAAATAGTTATCATACTAAAGTTTCCACTTTACGAATAGAAGTACTAACCTTACGATGATGCCCAGCCGCTGCAACAACCTGCAAACCAACAAATGGAATAAGTTAGTTACAACAGTTGTACATTATAAAGCCGCACTAATGCATATATAGATTAGATTGAAACCACATCAAACATTCAGCACAGGTACTCAAACCATGTCCGACATACACGAGGTCAAATGAAAATAAAAAATGTGCCCAACAGAAGGTTCGTTACATAGTGACAACTAAAACAAATGCTGTAAAAAGCAAACTAGGTAGGCTTCACTCAAACACGCGACTGCTTATCGGGGACACTATTTGCTGCCGGCATTTCTGCCATTCTTCCAGGTCCAGGTGATGTAAGTGAGACGATCTTCTCTATCATCGATGTTCTTGTACTGTTCGCGACACCCCCTCTTCTGGAAAAGGTCACATGCCATAAGGAACAACTCTGACTTTTGGGAGACACCGTCGTCACGTAGCATTTGCATGACCTCAGTCATCTCCTCTGCCTCAGTGGGCTTTGCACTCCTAGCCCTGATGCTGTTAGATATGTCGGCCAAGTACTCTCCAACTTCCTTCGACCTCTTTGTCTTCTTTGGGCTGTTGACTTCATTGTCCATCGTGGCCCTTTTGGAGGAGGCTCCGGCACTGGAATGGCCAAACGGTACGAAGGGCGTCCTGGGGGGAGTGCGGGTTACATCTTGAACACTGCCCGTAGCATTGAGTGTCCTCCTCTCCTGGTGATGATCCCCGAAAAGGGCCCACAGTTCATCGAAGTGGGCGGGGGGTTCTCCAAACTTTTCTGCATCTGCACTCGGTTCCTGCATAATGGTAACCATATGTTGGGATTAGTTCAAAAGCACAAATAAGACCACATGTCAGGATTAGTGCATAACAAATGAAAGGGAGGAGTCATTACCGCTTCGTGGCTGCCTCCTTCGGTGTGGTTGGGTGCCAAGTCCTCGGTCACAACTGCCCCTGTGGTAGGGTCCCGCCCGAGGCCTGTTTTGTTCTGTAGGGTTTGCCAGTTGAGGAAATTCTTTTTCATGTCAGTTAATTTGTTACGGATCTGCTTCTCCTCGTACGGCAGCCCCGCATCCCTACAACCTTGGTACACATTCCTCCACCCTTCCTTACTTGGACCTTGTTTACACCAGTTGTATTGGTTCTTCTCATTTTGATAGATGTCGAGCAGCAGTTTGGCATGCGTTTTTTTCCAGTTCGCACGTGGAGCATGCATCTGTAGATTGGCAGCAATGTATGCATCGGTTGTGTATAGTAGGACCATGGATTGATTAGCAAGCAGAAGCATACGCGCTCACCCAAAAACTAAGTCCAACGAGAAAGGGGTGGAGTTGAACTCACCTTGAATGGACGATTGGATGACCGCGGATGTAGGATGTACCGCGATCCTGCAGAAGGCGAGCAGGACGACGAGGATGACAGTGCCAGCGTAGGGAGCGGTGCGCAGGTAGTACTACACAAAGGTTCCTACAATGAAGGAATAGGACAAATTCAGTTATGAAATGTATGAACATGTGCATTACAGAGGCAACACAAGAGCACGGCTTCATAGCACTGAATAAATGTACCAAAACTATAAAGTTGTAAAATCCCTTGACTGAAGTTTTGATTTATCCATCAACCTTGTTCAGGTGCAACAGCATTCGAGAAACATCTCAGACTGAAGTTTTGATTTACTTTCCCTCAAGTAAAAACATAAACAAGCACGATATAGTCCTAAGTCACTAGAAGAGTTTAATTTGATCCTAGAGAAGGTATCAGCCAAGAGTACAAGCATGAACAGAGCTCAATCATTTCAAAAATATTTGCCAATCTAAGGAGGATTCTAAGTTGACTCTGCCCTATCACAAAGGAAATGCACACAGATCCGAAAGTCTTACCGGTTGTGGCGGTGGAGACGTCGACGACCTTGGCGGCCATGAACCTGGTGGCGACCGACAAACGGGGGGACCTGGTTGGAGGAGCACGATGTCGAGGACGGATTAGGAGACGGGCGGATCTGAAGGGTGAGCGTGGTTGGGGATACGACGGAGGCTGAGTGACGGAGTTGGAGGCGGCGGATGTGGGAGGTGCAGTGGACGAGGTGGAAGGCGGAGGATGCGGGAGCTTCGATGGGAGGGGCCGACCTTGGCTGCGGCGGATGCGAGAGGTCCGATGCAAGGTTTGGAGCTTGGCTGCGGCGGCTGCGGGAGGTCCGATAGGAGGGGCCGAGCGTGGCTGCGGCGGATGGGGGAGCTCCGATGGGATGGCGCGAGGTTGAGGGCGGTCGCTGCGCGAGATCGGAGGGGAGGGGGCGATGCCGGCGTTTGTGGGAGGCGGCTGGTAAGGGGGAACCCTAGGTGGCGCGAGCGAATGGGAGAGGGAGAGGGAGACCAGCGGTGGCCTGTCTGGTATATATACCAGCTAGTCTGGGCTGAAATGATCAGCCCACTCCAGCCACTTCCAGCCCAGCCCCAACCAGCAGAACACGGTACATAGCCCACTGCATTGGCCATTGGCCACCAGTTTTGAAATCCGGCCATAGCCTGCCTGAACCGGGGCCCCACTTCTGAGCGGCAGCACGCAGGCAGAGCAGCGTGCATTGCATGGTGTGCCTTTCCTGCTAGCTATCAATGGCTAGAATCCAGTGGGTGAATTCTGAATCCGCCGGCCCGTGAAGAAGCTACAGAACTCTACTGTAGCGCATGGGACGATTGCACCCGGCCGTGTCCTGTTCCTGCACAACGTAACCTTGATCAGTGCTCCTCTCGAACGCGTTGAGGAAGCAGCTTTGGTTCCCGCTATTCAGCCCGCACATTAAACATCAGCTAACCCTTGAGCTCATTGCCAGCGCTCTATATAAACCGTGCCTCTATTCCATCCCTTGGCTCCTGTGTCCACCAGCCGGAGTCAGTGAGTGAGTAACTGAGTACTGAGAATAGCCGTAGCGAAGCTCAGAGCAAGCGAGCGGGCGTGGTTCAGCTTCGGCGTGGTTCAGCTTCGGTCCTCGTCCTTCTTCTCCTCCTCGTCGCCACAGGTGCGTGCCTGATTCAATTCCTCCGTGCGTGCCCAGTGGTTGCTTGCATTGGCCCTTGCCCGTGCAAATTAACATTAACAGTAACGCGACGCGGTGTGATGGATGCTTTGTGGTTTGTGCGGTGCAGAGCTGGGGACGACGACGGTGGCGGAGGCGAGGTACTGCCTGTCGCAGAGCCACCGGTTCAAAGGCTTGCGCATGAGCTGCAGCAACTGCGCCAACGTGTGCCAGACCGAGAACTTCCCCGGCGGCGAGTGCAAGGCGGACGGCGTCTAGCCTCCGTCTGCTGGCGGTGGCGGGACGGCAGGTCGTCGGCGTGCAATTCAAGCCGACCACTGTTGTTAGTTATTGGTTCTCCTGCGTTGCTGTTTCTGTTTACTACCGTTTCTCTGCTGGATGCCTGCGCTATTACGTTAAAGCGCGTCGCTGTTTCCTGTTGCTTTCTTTCTGTTCCCACGAATAAACTCCGGGCCATGCATGCATGTCCCGGTATATGGGATGCCTGCGCAGCTGCGCTATTACGTTGGAGCGCGTCGCTGTTTCCTGTTGCTTTTTTTTTTCTGTTCCCGCGAATAAACTCCGGGCCATGCATGCATGTCACGGCATATGATGCCTGCGCGTGCAGAATGACATCTATATCAATTCTCACTGCAGTTAATCTGCATCCGTAGGTAGTCAAGACGATGCTGCTGCATGTCGCGTGTAAGCTCATGGTTTCAAAATGGATGTATGCAACTGTTGGTTTTCTTCCAAATCTGCTCTAGTGCTAGCTAGGTATCTTGATGATCAACGGGTGTTTGGATGGACTAAACTGAAGTTTACTCCATATTTTGGTTCTTCCCCCGCACCATGACTCACTCCAACGCGCAGAGCTTGTCCAGGGATTGCTTCATCATGTCCTGAAAGCCCTCGAACTGCTTGGACAACTCCTCCAACGTCGCCATCACCTTCTCGTGTTTGGCCGGCTTCGGTGAAGGCGCCAACACGAGTAGAACCCCGATTGAGCAAACAATTTTTTTTTTGATCTCTCGGAACTGAAGGATCCTGATTGCAATCACTACTACACTCTTTCACCTTTCACAGCCACATCATAACCCCTATCACAGTCCGATTTTGGCCTCAGCACTAAGTTGTCGGCAGTGATAATCATAGCTATTACCGTCGGCATCTGAGGCCGACTGGGATGTTCACTACACCACCATTTTGACTTATCATCCGTCCCTGATAAGGTCCTTACTTCCGTCGCATTGGAGCACGGCTCGCCTGTGTGAGTATGCACTAGCACCGTCGCATGGCTTATGATCCGTCCGTGATCAGATCCTTATTCCGTCGCATGGAGGCCCGACCCGCCTGTGTGGGTATACACTAACACCGCCATATGGGCTTATGATCCGTCCGTGATCAGGTCCTTATTTCCGTCGCATTGGAGCACGACCCGCTTGTGTCGAGGCGAACATCACCGTCGCTTCAGTGTATGAACCGCCTGGTCATAAGGCATCGTCACCGTCGTGTTGCAGTATGATCCGCCCGTGATGATCCTTTAGTCGGTGTCGGGTTACTGAATGATTTGGCGGTGATACACTATTGACCCTGCCGCATCAGACGAATAGTGGCAGTGATGGCCGTCTGCTTCACCAACGGCGAGTGGTACGGTGGTGATGACAAAACAACCAATGGGCCGTACATCCGACGGTGACAGAATTACTTCCGGTTTTCACAATGTATTTACTAATTCAGTTAGGCCTTAATAACTTACTGAACACACACCATATAGATATAATCATTACACATCATTCATCAACGAAGAGTACTTGTTATAATAACAATGCTCGACACTAACATAACAACTGTGTCAACTGATAAATTAACACAAACGGCACATAGATAGCATAATAAAGGTTCTGCTCCCTACAGATTTACGTAACTAAAATGAGGTAGATGTGCTCCGCTCCTTCAGATTGGCACTCCTTGATCAGTTTGGCAGCCAAAGCACGATGAAACCCCTCTTCTTCCTCCCATAGCCATTGCAGGAAAATCGTTTAAAGGCACTGAGACTTCAAAACCTGCATAATGCAAAGCAGCAGAATTAATAATATTTAACATACCATTGGTTTAGTTACCAAGACAAAATTGAACTATATATAGACTCAAAACAACTCCATACCTGAACAAAGACATGTCCTAACAACAAAATACTGCATATGCACCTTTACTGCTCTGCTAATGACTACATGAACAAGGGAACATAAGAAAGATAGTGAGGTCCGTTGATACATAGACTCCAAGTAGGTCTAGGACAGTGGATGACCTGTGTAGGGAGAACATTAACTTTTCTGTGGTTCATGTCATATGCAAGCAGTGTTATGTCCTCCGCAACAAGGAAAATCAAATTTTATTCGAGGTGAACTGCAATCACTCTATACTCCGCATCACAAATCTCGTAACCAAATTCAATATTATTCTGTCCAAATAACTCTAGCGTGGTCACCGTATGCTTCAATGTCCATCTATTACTACCATAGTTTTCAAGGATCCAGATTGAAAGCTGAGTCATATTGTAAATATCAGCAGTACATAAACACAACTGACCCTAGGCTTCATAGATAGAGATTGCATCACCACGTGGCTTCTGTATTTTTGTCCATGTATTTCCGTCCATATGAATAGCAACGATCTAGGAGAACTTGAGGCGGAGGCGAGGTACTACCTGTCGCAGAACCACCGGTTCAAAGGCTTGTGCATGAGCAGCAGCAACTGCGCTAACGTGTGCCAGACCGAGAACTTCCCCGGCGGCGAGTGCAAGGCGGAGGGCGCCACGCGCAAGTGCTTCTACAACAAGATATGCTAGCCTTTGGGCCTTGGCGGTACGGTGGCGGACAGGCAGGTCATCGGCATGCAATTCAAGCTAGACGACCAATGTTGTTAGTTATTGGTCCTCTCCTATGTTGCTTTTTTTGTTTACTACCGTTTCTCACCTGGGTGCTGGCTACGCTGTTACGTTGTAGCGCGTCGCTGTTTCTTGTTGCTTCCTTTCTGTTCCCACGAATAAAACTCCGGGCCATGCATGTCTCGGGATATGATGATGCCTGCGCGTGCGGAATGACATCTATCTCAATTCTCACTGCAGTTAATCTGCATCCGTGGATAGTCAAGACGATGCTGCTGCATGTCACGTGTATGCTCATGGTTTCAAAATGGATGTAATGCAATTATCGTTGGTTCTTTCAAATCTTCTTTGCTGCTAGCTAGCTAGGGATCATGATGATCAAGGGGTGTTTGGATGGACTAAACTGAAGTTTACTCCATATATTTTGGTTCTTCCCATGCGCCACGACTCCAACGCGCAGCTTGTCCAGGGATTGCTTCATCATGTCCTGAAAGCCCTCGAACTGCCTGGACAACTCCTCCAACGTAGTCATCACCTTCTCGTGTTTGGTCGGCTTCTATGAAGGCACTGTAGGTCCACGGGATCACCGACTGACGATAGTGAACTAGTCTCAGATCACTAGTCTCTCAGACCAGACCACTAGTCTCCAGACCACTAGCCTCCTAGACCAGATCACTAGTCTCCAGACCACTAGTCTCCCAGACCACTATACCGGTTGTGTCCGTACCCACACACTACGGATCGAGCTAGAAGAAGAAGGGAGGACAGAGCAAGCACGCACAATACAAGACAACAACGTTGACCGAGGCCCTGTCTGTGTGATAGCAAATCTGAGCTCTCTTTACTGAGTTGCCTTGGTGCCCTATTTATACAACTCTATCTATCTAACTAAAGTACAACGCACATGCTGTAACAGTAACTAGATAAGTATACAGGGCTGACTCTGCGCCGGCCACTGCATGTGCCTACAGTGCTGCAGGTGAGCCATGCGGCGCCTGCACCTGCACCTGCAGCGGCTACTATATTACAGCAGGGGGCAAAGTCGGCACCGCCTTCCTCTGCTGTGTTTCACACAAGGTGGTAGTAGATTAGCTAACAATCTTCCCCTAATCCTACTGCTAACCCTTGCACCCTCTCCATGTCGATCATCTCCTTCAGCTCCGTGAGTCGAAGTCGTTCGAGCGGCTTGGTGAGGACGTCCGCGAGTTGCCGACCAGTTTTGACAAACTCGATGACGATCTACCCTCCATCAACACAGTCCCTGAGGAAGTGGAACTTCACGTCGATGTGTTTACTCCGGTCGTGCAGAACCGGATTCTTCGTGAGGGCGATGGCGGGCTGGTTGTCCACCATCAGTGCTGGTGGGTGAGCTTCCACGCCGGTTAGCTCACCCAGCAGCCGGCGTAGCCACACAACTTGGCACGCCGCTGTGGCCGCCGCTACGTACTCTGCCTCGCACGTAGATAGCGCCACCACCTTCTATTTCAGCGATATCCATGAAATTGGGGCCGACCCGAGGAAGACGAGTACGCCAGAGGTGCTCCGTCGTCCATCGATGTCCCCTGCCATGTCTGCATCGCTGAATACCATGAGCTGCAGCCTACTTCCCTTGGTCTTTGGGAAGATGATTCCATGATTCACCATCCCCTTGACGTAGCATAGTAGCCGCTTCACCGCAGCCCAGTGATCCTCTCTGGGATCCTCCATGAAGCGACTGACGTAGCCCACGGCGAACGCAATGTCCGGCCTTGTGTGGACTAGGTAGCGCAGACCGCCGACGATGCTCCGGTAGAGTGTTGCATCTACTTTCACCGTGGTGCTGTCCTTCGTCAGCTTCAGCCGCTCCTCCATCGGAGTCACGCATGGCTTGCACTCCACCATGCCGCTCCTCTCCAACAGCTTGGAGGCATACGCGCTTTGCCCGAGCGTGAGTTCCTCCTTCCCCTGTCTCACCTCGATGCCGAGGTAGTAGGAGAGAGCGCCGAGATCGCTCATTCGGAAACGAGCTGCCATCTCTCGCTTGAAGCTGTTGATATCCTCCGTGCGCACGCTGGTGATGATTAAGTCATCCACATACATGCCGACCATGAGTTCTTCCTTCCCCCGTCGTCGCGTGTAGAGCGCGTGCTCGGTTGCGCACCTCTGAAACCCAAGCTCTCCCAGCGTGGTGTCAAGCTTGGCGTTCCATGCTCGAGGGGCTTGCCTCAGCCCATAGAGCGTTTTGCGCAGTTGGAGCACCCTGTGCTCCTCTCCCTTGACAGCGAACCCTGGAGGTTGCCTGACGAAGACCGTTTCCGCTAGCTCGCCGTTGAGGAAGGCCAATTTAACGTCCAAGTGATGGACGCGCCAGTCCTTTGCTGCCGCCAAAGCAAGTAGCAAACGGACCGAC